ACCCCAGCTACGACCGAGGGGCCACGGTGGCCGGTGTGGTTGGCGTCGGGCGGCTGATCACCGGCATGGACCGGGGGCTGCTGGGCATGTGCGTGAACGAGCGGCGTCACCTCATCGTGCCCCCCCACCTGGGCTACGGCAGCATCGGCGTGGGTAAGGGGCTGCGGCGGGGCGGAGTGGAGGGAACGAAGCCCCCGGGTCCAGCGTTGGCAGGGATGGAGGTCGGGTGCCCAGGTGGCAGGTGCTGGCAAAGGGCGGCTCCATTGCCAGGGCACTGAATAGCCGAGGCAGGTAGTGCCCGTGCAGGGAAGGAGGGGTCCTGCCCCCCCAGGCTCTGCTGCTTTCCTGGGGGGTGGCATGCGTGGCCAGCAGCCCCGAGCAGCCCCAGGCTCAGGGGGCCTTCAGGGGACAGAGCCCCTGGTTTGCCCAGCCTCAGCACTGCTCCCACTTAAGGTGCTCTGTCCTTGCTGCCGCTCCTTTAGCGGGGCTGATCCCCCCAGATGCCACCTTGTACTTCGACGTCATCATGCTGGACATCTGGAACAAGAACGACAAGCTGCAGATCACCACCCTCTCCAAACCGGAGCGCTGCAACCGCACGGTGGAGAACTCGGACTTCGTGCGGTACCACTACAACGGCACGCTGCTGGATGGCACCCCCTTCGACTCCAGGTACAGGGCACCGGCACTGGGATGCACCCTCGCCTCGGGGCTGGGGGCACCAGGGATGGCAGGGACCAGGAGTCACTGCCTGGGGCAGGACACGGGGCCCATGCTGCACCGCAGTCGGAGCAGCCTCCCCCTGTGCTCTCCCTCCTTGCACCCCAGCAGGGTGGGGGAAGCTCCGTGGCCCCCAAACCAGCCTCCCACGTGGCACCGCTGAGGCTGGGGGAGCTGGCGTGGCCCCGGAGCCGTGCCCCCCTCATTCCTCCCCACCAGCTACAGCAAGGACAGCACCTACGACACCTACGTGGGCACCGGCTGGCTGATCAAGGGCATGGACCAGGGGCTGCTGGGCATGTGCGCTGGGGAGAAGAGGAGCATCATCATCCCACCATTTCTTGCCTACGGGGAGAAGGGCTACGGTGAGTTGGGCATCGCCCTGTCACACCCGGCCCCTTCCCTCCCAGCTCGGCACAGTGTATCAGGAGCTGTATCTGGGCTGACCCGTGTCCCCTCCCCAGGGACCGTGATCCCACCACAGGCCTCGCTGGTGTTCAGCGTGCTGCTGGTGGACTTCCACAATCCCAAGGACGGCGTCTTCCTGGAACTCCTGGAGGTGCCGGAGTCCTGCAATCGCAGGGCTGTGACCGGGGACTTTGTCCGCTACCACTACAACGGCACGCTCATGGACGGCACGCTCTTCGACTCCAGGGGCGCTCCAGGTGCGGGCAGGGAAGCAGCTGAGTGGGGAGACCCCCCGATGTCCTCTCCTGCCCCACGCTCAGCCAGGAGAGGCTGGAGGATCGGGAGGAGGTGGAGGAGAGAGTGGTAACGGGCATGAAATAGGCTAAAAAAGACAATACCTGTTTGCTGCATCCTCAGGAGCAAGGTTGGGCTCCTGGGGGAGCAGGGCAGAGGCTGGGAGAAGGGGTGTGGGTTGGGTGCAGGTGTGGGTTGGGGTGCAGGGGTGGGTGGGGGGATTGACGAGCCCTCTCCTGCATGGTGGCACCGGGGGCTTCTCTCGCTGCAGCTACTCCCGCAATCACACCTACAACACCTACATCGGGAAGGGCTACATCATCCCTGGCATGGACCAGGGCCTGCAAGGGG